CAGCAAACACTCAAAATTTTCCATCCACAGTTACCTTAGCTCCATCCACATCTCGGTCATCTCCAAAAGTGCTGAAGAACCCCCATGGCCCCAGGTCAAAAATGCCTTCCCTGCCCCCTCACTGCCTAAAGACAGCCTTTTTCCTCACTGAAATCAGGGTCCTAAGTCTCCTCCCAGTTGCTCGAGTTTACTTTTTTTTGAGACAGGGTCTCACTATGTAGCCCAGACTGGCCTTGAACTCACAGTAATCCTCCTGTCTCAGCCTCCCAAGTACTGGAATTACAGATGTGTGCCGTTACCTAGATCTTTTGATTCAGGGCTGTTTACTTCATTTTGTCAGGCTTCCTTCAACTTTTTATTCATACAACTTCATGTCTATCATGCACCTTTTAAATCCGGCCCAGCGATGGCAGGAATCAGATGTGGTTAATTTTTCATTTATGTGTCCACACAGATTGCTAAAAAGCTACAGAAACTGCACAGACCAGCCAGCCAGCCAACCACCTGAAGCTCGCTGTTGGCCTAAAGAGCATCCCAGTTTCCTGCAGCTCGCCCAGCCTTTCACAACCTGTCCTTCTCCAGGCAACCTTACAGAATCCTCACTCCAGCCAGGTGAATCTGGTCTTTGCCACCTAAAGGAGCTCTGCTCCCAGCCCACTTGTCCACCTCCAGGCTCACCACACACCCGCTCACATCAACACTTCCCTGGAACCTTCCGTCCCAGCATCTTCCCTCAGCAAAGTCCTCCCTAATCATCTGGCCTCTAGAGCCTTCCTGCCCCGGAATTTTTTTTTTTTTAAACTTTTTATCAGTACCAGGGATTGAAATCACAACCACCTGCTTGCAAGGCAGGTGCTTATGCTGCTAAGCTAAATCCCCAGCCCCGCCCCCAATTCTTACATTTCCCTGTCACTCACCTAGCACTTTAATAACTAGCAGTCTGCTACAGCTGTTTACCTTTCCATCTTATCTCTGCACACGAGAGTCCCTTCCTTGTGAGCAGGGGCCCTAAAGCACACTTTTTGTGGGTTTTTTTTTTTTTTTCCCCCCCGGTGGTGCTGGGGATGGAACTCAAGGGCCTCGTGCATGCAAAGCAAGAACTCTACCACTGAGCCATAGTCCCAGCCCTAAAGCACACCTTAAGAAAATGAAAATGCTAACAGCAGGCAATACTAACCAGGCTCTTGGCAAATAAAACCCTGTGAACAACTTCATCAACTTCATTTTTTCAGGATTCTTTCTAGCTCTGACACACTAGATTCAATTATAGTTACACATATAATTTCATTCTGCTTTTCCCACCAACATAGAAAAGACTTCCTCACAAGTCAAAACAAACCTCTCTTTTGGAAAAAAAAAGAAAGAAAGAAAAGAAAAAGTCTTCCCTGTTGTTATAGTTTTGATCATCACTTTTCATGGCTGTAACATAATTCCTCCACTGAGATACCAGTCTATGATTTACCAAAGCACTGACTCTATTTGAAATGATTACATACACTGTGTCTTCCACAGAATCAAGAATTTCATTTGTTTGTTTTGTTGTTTTTTCTTTTTTGAGACAGTTTCACTATGCAGTTCAGGCTGGCCTTTAACTCACTTTGTAACCCAGGCTGACCTCACACTCACAGTAATCCTTCCTGTCTCAGCCTCCCAAGTGCTGGGATTACAGGCATGGGCCACCATACCTGGCCTGCACCAAGAATTTCAAAAACCAAGTAAACTCCTCTGAACTACCTGCTAAAATCAGTGTGTTGTCCATGTTCCCCAACCCCTGAAATAATCCATTTCACTTTTCTCTCTCAGTTTCTTGTGTAATTTTCTGTTTCACTCCCTTAGGCAAAGGTATCTTCCAAACACCTTTTATATAACTTATTTATTTTGACAGTCAATATTATGCATATTAAAACAAGGGCAGCCACTTGATTGAAGATCTCAAGCCATCTACACAAGGCTAGAAACCTGGCAGACACTCAATAAATGTTCACTTGCCGATTAAATATATATTTTTGGGGGGAGCCAATTAAATATTTTTAAACCACCTAAAGTTATAAAATGTCAAATTCCTGAAAAGGATTGTGCTGCTGATCCAACTAATAATGTCAATTACGCTCATAAAACTTTCAGCTTTTAATGATTAGATTGGTTAACAGTGCTGAATAGGTGTTCTGCATAGAATACAGAGAGAGACAAAGATTCTCTGCAGAGCTGTACTGACCAACAGACAACAAAGACAACGCGAATGACATCTGCAGGTAGAACTTCAAGGCCTTGTGACAAGAACTCTGCCTCTTTAGCTTCATCTTTCAGAAGAAAAGCAAAAATAAAATGTGTAATGTGAGAACTATGTAAAATTACATATGCATGTGAACACAAATTAGAATGGAAATAAGAAAACTTGTTAGGAACAAAGGGTGTAGGAGACTGTTTTCCTTTCTATTTTTTGATTGTTTTGTTAGTAGGTTACAATGCATAAATAGAAAAATATTCTTGATAAATAGCCCTTGCAACTCTTGCTATTACTAAAGTAGGGCCTACTTCAACATCCAAGTAACTACATTTTCCAAATCTACAGTTTAGCAGAAAAACAAAAACACTTTCAGAACAAATGTTAAATAAAAACCATCCACTTCAAGATTCAAACACCTAACCAGAACTTAATAACACACCAAAGGTTTCTGGAAATCCTCAGATTTTTCTACAAAGATGGCTAATATGACCCCAAATAGGATAGTCCATAAGCAAAACTACATCTTACCCCATGTTTCAATCTCACCTTGTCTTCATGCGCGATTAATCAGGCTACTTTTTGTACTTAGGCTGACAGAAGCAACCAGGTATAAAGTTGATTTGTCATAATTATATGCTAGTAATACATTAATTTTCACAGAAGTAATAACTCTGCAAAGTAATATCCTCCTTTTCAAAATTATTGGAAAGGACTACGATCACGGGCCTTAAGATTCCACTACATTCTACTGTATTTCATAATACCTTTAGATTCACGTAAACAACTTTGTGTGCTTTAACTACCTGTGGTGATCACTGTAAAAAGAAGTCCATGTGCATGTCAAGATATATAAATGAGGGTTAAGAGGGCACTAAACGAACGGAGGAAACTTTATCACAAATAACACATTCCTATTTACAGAATAATGGAACCTATGTATAAACAACCATTTTAAAGTGAGTTCAAGCCAAGAACAGCTAACTTCTACTCCACAGTTGAAACTATTATTCTGTGTATACCTCAAAACTTTTTTCCTTTTTTTTTGGTACCAAGGATAGACTCATGACCTTGCACTTGCCAGGCAGGCGCTTATGCCACTAAGCTAAATCCCCAGCCCTTGTGCCTTGAAACTTTTAACATTGGCCATTATTACACTCTTATCAATGGCAATTTAAAAATAACAAGAAGCAGGACGCAAGGTGCACACCTGTGATCTTAGGTACTTAGGAGGTTAAGGCAGAAGGACAAGCGCTTAGAGGCCGCCAGCCTGAGCAATTTAGGTAGAGCATATCTCAGAATAAAAAATACACATACAAAAGACCCTGGGTTAAGTCCAAGTATGGAGGTGAGGAGTTAAAATGACAGTAGCACCCCCCAAAACACTACAATCAATAGTGAACACTATAGGAAAAGTAAAAAGCTCTAAATATCCGAGTCATTTTGTGGTGGTTGATTGAGCTGCCTCTTTTTAGCACTGACATTTCCAAGTATTTTGTGTGTGAAGGAACTTTTAAGAATGTGCTGAATCCATCTTTCAGAATCAGTTAAGTTGTGTTCCAATTGGCCTGGGTTGCTTTTTTTTTTTTTTAATCATGAATGATTACAATTAACTTAAAGTGAACTTAATGATGCCTGAATTTTTAAAAACTGAGGCTTCTTTTTTCATAGTTCCACTAAAGTTATTTCAATATTTTCAAAACCTGGCCCTTCAGAAAAAAAACTCACCTGAAAAGCCTTAAGCAGTCCAAGGAGCAACAGGTGGGCAAAACAAGTCTAAGAGTAAAGACAGAAACTAACCTCCCACAAAAGGACAAAGTCTAGGGCAACAGGTTGATCTGCAGATTCCAATCTATACAAATCCAAAAAAAAAAAAAAAAAAAAAAAAAGAGCAAAGAGAAGGAAAACAACTTATAAGTCCTACATAAAAGGAAATGCTTGGTTTGGAACAAAGATGATTTGGAACAGTTTAGAAAATGATTCTGGTGTTTAAAATGGTTCAAATTAGTCTAGAGTCTTTCACCTGCAAAATCATCTCCTGGAACTGTAACAGCGATCCCAATAACATGACCTCCCGTTCTCAAACCCATTATCACATTTAATGAAACCTGCCCTGAACTCCGCTCAATGGGGCTGCAGAAGGATGGTTTAAGAGGTCTCAATTTATCTGCTTTCTCTGCCCTCCCGACAGACTTCAGCGAATGTCTGAACGATACAATTTCACAAGACTCTTGGCACCTAAACTATTTATTGTTGAGAGATGACGAATATGACTTCAAGCAAAAGCAAAAACTTCTCGACAGTCCAAACGCTGGAAGGAAAAAGGCATAGCTTTCACCCAATGCCTATCAAAGTGCAGTAACCCCGACCCCTCAGGGCCACACAGGTCAAAGTTAATATAAAGTGGCAAGGCGAACAGAGGACCCGGCCCGGGCGCGGGCCACCAGGGTGCGGCAGGACTGGGTCCCGCGCGGGGCGCGGCTCCTGGGGGTGCGGTGACAGCCGGCGGGGACCAGGGACGAGGGGCGCAGGACGGGGGCGAAAGGCGCGGGCGGGCGGCAGAAGCCGCAGGCCGAGGAGGGTGCCACCCCAGCGCCCCAGAACGCAAGGGCCGGGAGGGGGCGTCGCGCGTCGACGGGAAGGCGCACGCGGGGCTCCGAGGTCCCGGCCTTCGCAGAGCCCCCCTCCAAGGGGGGGCCGGACTCTCACAGCGCGGGGCGACGCGCGCCGGACACCTGCCGCCTCCCCCTCGGTGGCACCGCGGCCGGGCTCTCACCTCGTCGATTCATGGGCCGAACCCGCACCGCCACTTTTACTTTGGAGTCCCCCATCCTGCCGCCGCCGCCCGGGTTCGCGGTCCGCTTCCGTCTGCCGCGGCCACCGGGCGACACTGTGGGGCTGACCCGGCGGGAGGGGGCCGAGGGGCGGGGCTGGAGGGCGGGGCTGGAGGGCGGGGCCGTGTGCCCCGCGGCATGCTGGGAACTGTAGTGCCCCAGGGTCACACACAGGCGGGGCAGAGCGTCTCGCAGGAAGGAGCGCCAAAGCGTTGCTCGCTCCCGCCTGTCCCGGGTGTTGAGGCTCCTGTGAGCCCCATCTCTCCCTGTGGTAATTAACAGTTCTTCGTCGTAGGCTCGGCGAGGCAGCCTGTTGATTCGCTGGCCTTGGAGACCTCGTCCCCACACTGTGCTCTCTGCCTGCGTGCTACAGCCGGCTCTCGGATCCACAGGTTAGACTCTCCTTCCAGGAAGGACATCGACTCTAGCCTACGTCCTCATCCTCTGGGACCAAACCTGGGACTGGGACTATGGAAGCACCCCAAGTTCACAAGCACCTCAGCAGTCCCAGCTGTGTGACCCTGAGCCTGAGCGAATTATTGCCTCTCCAGTGCTACCCTTTTCAAATGTAAAATGCAGAAATTCAGTGGGTACTTTCCCCTCCTGATACTGTGAAGACCAAACCGGGGACCTTCTCATCAAGCTACAGCTCCAACCCTTTTAAAAACTTTTTATTTTGAGACAAGTTTCGCCCTACGTGATTAAGTTGCCCAGGCTGGGCACCAACTTGCCATCCTCCTGCCTCAGCTTCCCAGGGTGCTGGGATCTAGGTGTGTGCTGCCACACATGGATTCGAATAGGCAGTTTTTAAAACCATAAGATTTATTTACATGTGTGGCCCACAACCTGTAGAGACCCAAGAAACATTTGTTGCATGAATGAATAAAAGCCAAACTGAAATAGCACTTCATCTGCCAACTGGGGGCCCCTGGGCCAGATCTAGTCTGCAGCTAGGTTCTGTTTGGCCCGACATCACAGGCCAGCACATGAAGGTCATTCTGGGACATGCTATTGGAAATAGAGGGCTGAGACTGAATAGCAGGGAGCAGCTTCACAAGAGGTGAGCCTCTCCAGGTGGATTTGCCCATGTGCCTGGCCCTCATGTGGTCAGGACTCCACTGTTTAAATGACTTTGCAGAACTCAGAGTTGAGTGAGTCCAGAGAACTGGACAGACTTGCTGCTCTGCCAACAATCCTGCTGTTTTAAGATCTTCAGTACAAATGATAGAGTTGTCCTGAGAGGATAAAAAAACACTTTTATCTTTTTTTTATTTTCTTTTATTTTTTTAAGAGGTCTCATTATGTAGTTCAGACTGGCCTTGAACTCAGAGTGACCTTCCTGCTTCAAAAAAGCAGTTTTACAATTCAGTATATGAAAGTACTACAATGTTAATATCCAAAAGAAAAGCCCTCTATACTGATCATCATGATCAGTATGGTACAGTTTTTTAAAACATAAACTATCATGCTCTTCAAAAACAGTTAAACAGTTTTAAAAGGTAAAAAACACACTCCTGTAATCCCAGCACTTGGGAGGCTGAGGCAAGAGAATTGTTTGCAAGTTCCAGACCAGCCTGGGCTACAAAGTGAGCCCAAGGCCAACCTGAACTGCATAGCAAGACCCTATTTCAAAAAAACCAAAAAAAAAAAATGATGAACACAAGACATCCTAAGCAAAATAATCCAATGGCAAAAGAAAATTTACAGAACCAGGCACACATCTATAATCCCAGAACTCTGAAAAACTAAAACAGGATCAATTCTAGTTCAAGGCCAGCATGAACTACATAGTGAGACTCTATCTCAAAAAAAAAAAAAAAAAAAAAAAGGCCTTCCCAGTAACTATTACTTTTTTATTATTTGATTTAGAAATTGCCTTCTGAGCTGCAGAAGGGCTGGAGCAAATATAGGTTTAGTGAAGCAGGTCTGTCACAGTTTAGATCTAAAATGCCCCCAAAGCCTCATGTATGTCTGTGGGGTGATGGGACCATAGGACACTCTTCTCGCCAGGGGATTCATCCATCTATGAGTCCATGGCTGAGAGTGCTGATAGAAGGTGGATTTCTGGGGTGTGACCTGTATGAGTGAACTCTTGTCCCCAGCTCCACCCTCTCTCCCTGCTTCCTGGACACCACAGTAGCCAGGCCCCTCTACCCTCCTGTTCCTACCCTGGAGCAGCTGACCATGGGTGAGACTTCTGAAACTGTGATCCAAACTGAACCTCTTCTTTGAGTTGTGAGTATCAGGTATTTTGTCCCATTGTCAAGAAAAGGGTTAAAAGTGAGTCCTTTTTTTCACAGTCCAGTAAACACATACCACCAACAAAATCAACCTAAGATCACTAGGGCTGGGTGTATAATGCAGTGGCAGAGTTCTTGCCTAGGGAAGGTCCTAGGTTCAATTTCCAACACTACCAAAAAAGAAGGGGTGGGTGGGAGGGAGAGAGCCAGGAATATAGAGCTCAGTGGTACTGGTTGGTGCCTGCCTGGCAAATGCAAAGTCCTGAGTTCAATTCCTGGTACCAAAACAAAAACAAATTGCAAATTTCTTACTTTTACCAAATAAATTTTTTTTTTGAGATAAAACACAACCGCCTGCATGCCAGGTAGGTGCTTATGCCGTTGAGCTAAATCCCCAGCCCCTTAAATAAATAAATTATTTTTAAAAAGAATATGGGTAACAATTGCTCTCTACTATTACTATCATTCTTTTTTAAAAGGCAGGGAAGCATCTTTTTACTATATGAAATTCTTGGCTTTATTAATAAAACCTCACTTCTGTACTTTTGTTCTTACTTGGTGTTAAAAAAAATTTTTCTTTTTTTTTTTTAACAACATTGGATAGTCGGGTTTGGGTTGTGTTTTTGTTGTTTTGTTTTTACAATGTTAGGGGTCAAACCCAGGGCCTGCACATGCTAAGCAAGTGCTAACTAGCTTGAATCTTTTTCTTGGTACTGAGGATTTAACCTAGGGCCTTCCGGCTGAGCTGCATGCCTCGCCCCTTTTTATTTTTTATTGTTGAGACAAAGTGTCACCAGGTTGCTACATTGTCCAGGTAGGGCTCTAACTTGTGATACTCCTGCCTCATCCTCCCGGTATGTTAGGATTACATGCAGAAAAAAGAAAAGGGGACATGGTTTCTCTGACAAAATTGCATTCAAGCTAAAACTTAAGAGAAAAAAGCCCCTGAGGAGCTGAAGGTGGGCGACAATGTCTCTTCCCAGAGACAAGGATTTTCTGTAAAGTTCCAGGCCCCTTTAAATGGGCCTAGAAACCTTTGATTGGAAGGAAACGGCAGTTGCTGTCCTAGGAACAACAGGGGAAACCCCTGTTGGGGGTTCTCCCTTCCCAGGTCCGCCTACCCTACCCTTTGACTTCTGCTGTGAAAGTGAAAAGAGAAGATTCTTAGCTCCAAGGAAAATCTTACCTGGATAGGTGAGAGAGAAAGGCCAGAGCCTCGAGTGACAACCTGCAGTCCAGAGGTGGGGACCCACAGATCAGTGGGGCTCTGGGAGCTGCCAAGGGAGCAGGGAAAATCCTGCTGCCTCTCTTGCCGACTATTGGAGGGAAAAAGAAAGAACAAGGAAGGCCCTGCCCTTGCTTTGCATTTTTCCCAGTACTGGGGACTGAATCTAGGACCTTTACGTGGAGCGACGACGTGCCCAGCCGTTCTTTAGTTTTTATTTTGAGATGGGGTCTCAGTCAATCACTTAGTTGCCCAGGCTGGGCAATCCTTTCGCCTCAGCCTCCCAGCGTGCTGGGATTACAGGTATGCACCACCATGCCCAGCCATTCCTTTGTTTTGTACCTCTACAACGGATGTTTCTCATTTTTGCCTCAACACTTTGCAAATCTACTCACTGCGAAAGCGACTTCTAGGTTACTCTCCTCGCACTGATCTGCTCATCAACAGGGTCCCTGTTGGCCCTGCAGAAGCGGAGGAAGCCTTTAGGCCTGCTTGCTTTTAAGGTCATTGCTGACCCTGACCACGGTGGTTCACTTATGTTGAGTCTCACTGTGTGTCAGCCACCATCCTAAGCACGTTACCTGGACAGCCCTGCTAGTCCCTGGCCACTCCTGAAGCAGGCCCTGTCAGTACCGCTGCATCACAACCTCCCCTCTCCCCACAACGATCTGCAACTCTGCACCATGGACCAGAGCACAAGCTCATTGTCCAATCCACGGGAATCCAGAAGAGCCACTGCTTGCCATTCCACTTCGCAACAATTTTTTGCTTTGAGGCAGGGTCTTGATTCATAGCCCAGGCCACCCTTGAACTCACGACGATCCTTCTACCTCAGCCTCCCGAGTGCCTGGAGTGTAGCTGTGTGGCATCGTGCTCAGTCCAAAACACTTTCATAACCCCATTATTGACAAGCCCACAAGCGGTTTACCAAGTTCTGTTTTATTTTGTCTTTGAAAATGAAGCAGTGAGCTAATTGTTTCCTCAGGCAAACTATTCTCAGCTTCCAACAGGAGTTCCCTGCTCTGGGGACTCAGCTGTTTTCTGATTGGAACTGTGCCTTGGGGTGTCTCCCCAGGAAGCAAATGCACAATTCTTGCCCATAACCTTGGCCTCTTCCAGTTGGCTCCCTCTGCCTCCCAGGTACCAATATGCTACTCTTATACTTCCTATGCCTCAGTTTACCCTTTCCTCACTCATCTGCTTCCATCTCTGGCTGGAACCTCCCTCTTGATTGCTGTCAACATCACTCATGCTCTGCGAGCCCCCTGAAGCCATGTGTGGGAGGCAGCTGTCCCCAGCTACGGTACATAACAGAGAATCCACTCAGGAAGGTCCTGGCTTCAAAGGTCAGGCCATGGCTGCTTGGCCCTGTTGCCTTCGAGGCAGATTCCATCATGGTGGGAGCACAGAGCACAGAAGCCTGCTCATCTCAGGGCAGCCAGGAAGTGAGGAGCAAGATAGAGTAGCCAGGGTTCTAATGTCCCCTTCAAGAGGCCACCTCCAACCAACTACCTAACATTTTTAGGACACTCAACCTCCTGAAAGTTGCACTGCTTCCCAGTAGCACCTTGTGCTGGGGACCAAGCCCCCATATCCTTGGGAGACATTTAAGATCCAAAAAAAAGCCTAGCA